GTGAGTCTATGGGTCTCTGTGTGAGTCTATGGGTCTCTGTGTGAGTCTATGGGTCTCTGTGTGAGTCTATGGGTCTCTGTGTGAGTCTATGGGTCTCTGTGTGAGTCTGTGTGTCTCTGTGTGAGTCTATGGGTCTCTGTGTGAGTCTATGGGTCTCTGTGTGAGTCTATGTGTCTCTGTGTGAGTCTATGGGTCTCTGTGTGAGTCTATGGGTCTCTGTGTGAGTCTATGGGTCTCTGTGTGAGTCTGTGTGTCTCTGTGTGAGTCTATGTGTCTCAGTGTGAGTCTCTGTGTCTCTGTGTGAGTCTATGGGTCTTTGTGTGAGTCTATGGGTCTCTGTGTGAGTCTATGGGTGTCTGTGTGAGTCTATGGGTCTCTGTGTGAGTCTATGGGTCTCTGTGTGAGTCTATGGGTCTCTGTGTGAGTCTATGGGTCTTTGTGTGAGTCTATGGGTCTCTGTGTGAGTCTATGGCTCTCTGTGTGAGTCTATGGGTCTCTGTGTGAGTCTATGGGTCTCTGTGTGAGTCTATGGGTCTCTGTGTGAGTCTATGGGTCTCTGTGTGAGTCTATGGGTCTCTGTGTGAGTCTATGGGTCTCTGTGTGAGTCTATGGGTCTCTGTGTGAGTCTATGGCTCTCTGTGTGAGTCTATGGGTCTCTGTGTGAGTCTATGGGTCTCTGTGTGAGTCTATGGGTCTCTGTGTGAGTCTATGGGTCTCTGTGTGAGTCTATGGGTCTCTGTGTGAGTCTATGGGTCTCTGTGTGAGTCTATGGGTCTCTGTGGGAGTCTATGGGTCTCTGTGTGAGTCTATGGGTCTCTGTGTGAGTCTATGGTTCTCTGTGTTAGTCTATGAGTCTCTGTGTGAGTCTATCGGTCTCTGTGTGAGTCTATGGGACTCTGTGTGATTCTGTGTACGTATGTTCAACTTCTTTTGCACCGTACGCAGGCAACCGTGCCAATCGAAGGCGTAACTACAGTATTCAGATGCCAATTGCAAAACTGGTCCATCAGAAAACATTTTTACATAATTTAATTCTAATCAGGCTCCATCGTGTAAGTGCAGTCTCCAACTATATATACAGTAAAACCTTGTATTGCGAGCATAATTCGTCCCGGAAACGTGTTTGTAATCTAAAGCACTCGTATATCAAAGCACTCGTATATCAGTTGTGATCACGTGACGCTCGGCAGACAAAGCGTATACGTACTACTCGTATTGCACGGCAGTGTTATTGCCGAATGCGTTGGGTCGCTTCGTTCACTCAGCCTACACGACATGATATCTACACGCCAAATCAATACACAACCCAACATCCTTAACAAATCTCATCTTATATTATTTTTTTGTTTTGTTAGCTAGGCGTTCACAACCATTATGGTGCAGTTTATTTTGGGTTAGGGGCCGTCCATAAATGACGTCACGCGATTTTGGAAGATTTTTTACCCCCCCCCCCTCGTCACACGGCATCACAAAAAGTCAGACCCCCCTCAAATATGACGTCACAAAGCTCTGCCCCGCCCCCCCCAAAAAAAATATAAAACATGCTTCAAATCGCTTTAAATTATTGTCATTAAATGTGGCGCTGAACTCTGATGTTGTAGGAGAAAACATTTACTAAAAAGTCTATTTAATTAAGTAGAACGTGTTGTCTATATTTATTTAAAGTTGCGCATTTTGATGTGACGTCACATTTCTCAACCCCCCCCCCCCCTCGTCACACATCGTCACAAATGTCTGACTCCCTAGGTGCGTGACGCCATTTATGGACGGCCCCTTAGATCGTGTAGTTGGGCATAATGTAAACGTTCTCACTGGAACCCTCCACCGCTGGACAGAGCCACTTTGGCACGTGGGCAAACACTGTCCGATCGTTGACAAGTGAGCAAAATGTTGACATTTACGAGGCAATCGGCGTATTGAGGCCGAGTAGCCGAGCCCTTGCGTCAACATCTTACAGGTTCTTAATGGTGATCTAAATCTCCGGGGACAACGTCCTCCTTCGTAATAATATATATACTTGACAAGCAAAAAAAATGCCTAAATTTTTGCGTGGGCTTTTTTTTTACTCACTCTGTCTGTTGTTGTCGTTGTTGTAACCTCAAATCTTGTAACTCAATTTTAACCCAATTCCCAATGTGGTATCGACTGCAAACTTGGTATACTCATGTCATACTGATGACAATACTGTATTCTATCATAAAAAATATATATATTTTTAAACATTATTTTTTTCTATATGTTATGTTTCGGCTTGGCTCTAATTGTCCACGCTCAACAGACGTTGGCTGTTAATTGGCCACGGTCCCTTACGTTGTGGCAAGCTTCGGGGCCACTTCCAGGAGTTCTGCCATTGCTAATACATTTCATAAAAGCGTATTTAAAAAAAAGTTTAAAAAAATATATTACTTATTTAACATTCCGTCCGTTTTGCTGAAACACCAAAATCAACCGAGGACACATTTTGCCCGTGACGTGCCAACTTGATTTTGCCCACGTGTTCAACTGATCTCATTGGCTCCGTCGGGTGGTGAAGGGCTAAGTAGTTAAACGATATTTACAACGTACCTACGCAAATGATCTAACCTCATTTTTATTTTATTATTCAACAAGTATCTATCGCGTAGCTGTTATCTTGCCAATTAACGTATACTGCTACCATCAGCACCATCATTGGTTAACGTACAAAGCTGTGAGCCACCTTGCCCCAGTCTACATCATTGACATGCTGTACCCATGTATGTCCCCCCCGTCAAGGTCCCGCAGGTCTTCTCTGTGCATTCCCAGGTCCGAGACTTCTTCGGTCTATATGTGACCACGAGATCTTCCCCCCGCGTAGCTCCCAGGCTATGGAACTCTCTTCCACGGGATATCTGGGATCTCTCTGAGAGTCTGTGGACACTTTTTTGTTTAATGCGTCTCAAAACCTACTCATACGTTTTCGCTTCTTAAACTTTTAGTTCATTGAGTAAATTAATTCTTACAATGTGATGATGGTAGTAATGTGCGCCTTTTGGCGTCCTCTGGTCTAACATCGTGTGAGACTAGGCTCGAAAGAAAACTGTCTCTGGTGTGGACCAATCAGTTTCAAGGACAATGCCATTATATTATCAATGTGTTTTTTTGTTTGCATTCTGACCACAAGTATTGTGGTTAATGCAGGCATGATTCCTCGTAAAAAGGTTTCAGTTTGGTGTTTTGACATCTCCACACCTGTTTTGTTGCCAGAAAAAAGGGGAAGAAAAACCTATTATTATCTTACAATGTATTTATAATATAATTAGATTATGTCGAGTGTCTGTTGCTGTTGTGTCCTGCATGGCGCTTTGAGGTCCTTGATGAAATGCGCTTCGTAAATTCAATTATTAGCATCATCGTCATATCAAAATAATATATTTCGAGATTTTTAAAAAGTCACTTTGGCTGCCCCATACCGTGTCAACCCCCATAGGGTTTACCCGTATCATTGTATAGGGAAATTGAGTTCTCAGGCCCATACTGAAAAAACAAAAGTGTCTATTTGTCTGTGTTTCTCTCTTGTAGGATGAACGTCGAGATTTATAAGGGACACGGGGTGACCAGTAAGGTCTGAATTGGTCTGTATTGATAAGGGGTGGACAGGTATGCTATACACTACACTGTACACTACAATATACACTACACTATACACTACACTATATACTACGCGATACATTACACTACACTACAATATACATTACACTATACACTACTATATACTACGCGATACACTACACTATGCACTACACTATACACTACACTATACACTACAATATACACTACAATATACACTACAATATACACTACACTATATACTACACAATATACTACGTGATACACTACACTATATACTACGCGATACACTACACTATACACTACACTATATACTACACTATACACTACACTATACCAAACCTGTACCCATACAGTTTACCCCGTATTCTTATGGAGGGAAATTTAGTTTTCAAGCCCATACAGCGTACAGCCGTTTCAGTAGGGCAACACAAATATTGTCTATCTGTTTGCGTTTCTTCCTCGTGATGGGACTTTGTAGGATGAACGTTGGGGTTTATAAAGGGGCACGGGGGTGACCAATCAGGTGTGAATTGGCCTGTAACAAGCTAGGGACACTGATAAGGGGATGACAGCTCAATACTCTTTGGCTCTTTCGGTAAAGCCACGTCGGTGAAAAAAAACCCAAAATAAAATAAGAATTAAAATAAAAAATATAGAAACAATCAAATTAAATCACGACGTGCTGAGGACAACTCTGCTGCCCATTCATTCTCGCGCCCCGGTGACGTCACGGACCCACGTGGTATGAGCGCGCCGGGCGGTGACGTCACTGGCCTGGCCGGGCCCTCCAGCAAGGCCACTGGACATTTTTTTAAATTTTATTTTATTTTATTTAAAAGTCATCAAACAATTACGATTGTAAGTGCAGCGACTGCCTGACGTATCACATCAGCAAGTTGATCTTTGGAATTGTGTTTAAGTTACGTGTGGGGGGGGGGGGGAGGGTCCTTATTTTTTTCACAAGACCGGGACTTCTCGTGACTCCACCGCTGGATGGTGAAGGCCGCCCACGGGCCACGCCGGGGTGGTGAGTGGGGGCCGGGGGAGGAGGGGGCGGGGGGGAGGGGCGGAGGGAGAAGGGGGGAGGAGGCGGGGGGGGAGCGGAGGAGGGGGAGGAGGAGGGGGGAAGGCGGGGGGATGAGGAGGTAGGGGAGGAGGAGGCGGGGGGGAACGGGGCGGGGGGGGTGTGGAGGAGGAGGCGGGGGGGGGGAGGAGGAGGCGGGGAGGAGGCGGGGGGGGGGTGTGGAGGAGGAGGGGGGGGAGGAGGCGGGGGGGGGAGGCGGGGGAGAACGGGGCGGGGGGGGTGTGGAGGAGGAGGCGGGGGGAGGCGGGGAGGAGGAGGGGGGAGGAGGCGGGGGGGGGAGGAGGGGGGAGGCGGGGGGAGGCGGGGGGGCGGAGGAGGCGGGGGGGGGTCACCTCGGCAGGTACCGCTTGAGACGTCCACTGGACGTCTCTTGGACGTCTCCACTCCCCGGGTCGTCCCCTCGGCGTGGACTCCAACTCGGCCCCTCCGGGCTCTCTCGCGCCAGGCCCAGCACGCAAATGGTCCATCGAGGCATCGGCGGCTCGCGTCTTACGTCAACAGCTCTAGGTGGACATTCCACGTTCCCGTGACGGGTCAGAGTACATTCTATGAGGACTACCTCACAAATAGTTCACCTGCTGTAAGTTGCCGCCAATAACGACACAACACTGTACTGTACAGTACCATACAGTACTGTACAGTACAGTAATCGTCAACTTTGGTGTCGGCTACGTTGTGTATGCCTTTAATTGCTTCGGTTATACTATAAATATTTTGATATAATATACTGTACATCCTTCACGACACCGGTGTGGTAAAGTATTGGGGGGTTCTAACCATACTTCAGTGTGGTGAGGTATTGGGGGGTTCTAACCATACGTCACACCGGTGTGGTGAAGTATTGGGGGGTTCTAACCATACTTCACCAGTGTGGTGATATATTGGGGGGTTCTAGCCATACTTCACCAGTGTGGTGAAGTATTGGGGGGTTCTAACCATACTTCACCAGTGTGGTGAAATATTGGGGGGGTTCTAACCATACTTCACCACACCGGGAGGCGAATTACTCGGTTCACAGTGTGACGATGATGGTGTTTCCATGTTAATATTCGTTACTGGACTAAAACTGTAGTAACATCTACATCTGTTTAGGCTGGCCCTGTAAGTCTGGATGGCCCGAGTGAAAACATATGTGTGTTTTTTTTTTAGGATTTTCCTAATCGTACAAGTTTCACCGTCCCAATCACTTGATGCGTCGGGCACTGCCTTCTTGACATCGGCGATGCTATGTTGTGATTTTAGAAACGCCTTATCAGTGGCCTACCTTATTACAGACCAATGCAGACCTTATTGGTCACCCCGTGCCACTTATAAATATCAACGTTCATCCGACAAAGTCCCATCACGAGGTACAAACGCCAATAAATAGACACAACATTTTGTTTGCCCGTATTGAAACGGATGTACGCCGTATGGGCCTGAAAACTCGGGTTTCATTGTACGAGAATACGGGGTAAGCCGTGTGGGTTGACACGGTGTGGAAACGCCGTCTGCCATTCCCTATCCACTGCTGAATGAAGGCCTCCCCACGTGACCCCGCCATCCCTCGCGGGCCCGTTTCCTGGTACACAATCCGTCTCGTGCTGTCTGCGCCGGAGGTGACCACCACCACCACCACCACCTCGTCGTCATCGTTACTTCATCTCCGTGGTGGTCAAGCTCTCAGGTAAGTTTCCTCCCAACACCTTTGACTGCCATTCCGTCACCAGGTCTTCGCTCGTCCGCCATCCTCATGTGCCCCTGCCCAAACCCGCTTGGTTTCCTAAACAGTAAAATGTCATGTTTTTAATTTCCCTTTGTTCGCTGTTCTACGTGCTCCTCCTCTTCCTTGTCTCCTTATTGTTACAACTAAGTACAGTATTTAGCAAATCATTGTAGCCTATTTTTTTAAAACAACATTCGAGCATTGCCCAAATGAGCCAGTACATCAAAGGCACCCTGATCTACTACTGCCATGACACATTTTATTCATTTGTTCGCTTCTAAAGGTCCTAATTTAACTTTGTGAAAGACGTCCTTGTCGTCGGTGAATGCGTCTCTTGTCAAAACTGCGTTCTCCGTCGACATTGTGTACTTAACAATAATTAACATTTTTAAAGCGCATTCCATCCTAGAATCCCAATGCGTAATGCGTGGAAAGCAGGAAACTAAAACAGAACCCGGGGCAACCGAATAAACTAGAGAGGGAAGGCCACTTTAGAGAGATGTGTTTTAAAGAAGACTTAAATATATCTTACCGACTCTGCCCGATTTCAATTGGCAAATCGTCCCAATGGCTTGGGTGCCACGCTAACAAAAGCCCGATCGATAGTCCATTGGCCTACGCGGTTGCTTTCCAGACCCATTTCCCCGTCCGTATTTCTGCGCGTCATCAGCAGGCCAGGTTTGTTAAGCCGATGTCATTGGGTCGCTAGATGTTATTGGCAAAAGCACTCCACGATAAAGCACAGGGCTCTGTTTACAATTGTAATCAACGTTTTACATAAGCTCATCATGCGTTGTTGGTGATGCATTACGGTTGAAAGCATATGTAAGCTCACATCTTTTCTGCATCTCCGCATATAAATAAACATGCGTTTCAGTCCTTGGGGCCTATTGGCCTTCGAGACCAATATTATCCGGCCGCATTTGTCTCGGCAAGCAAATGTTTGTAATTGTATGCCAGACCATGCTACTACTTGCCAAAGGGTTTGCGTTATATAATTTATGGGGCAATGTTCATAAGATTGATTGGCCTGTGACTTGCGCTGCTATGACAAGCGCGGATAATTGCCGTTTTTCAAAGGAGCAGTCGTATCTCTAAATATAAATCATTAAACAAGCACAGTGGTGATCCTGAACCTTACATTTTAAGAATAAGAGTGTGCTGCAGTGTTGTCGCCACAAGTCTTGATAGTTTCCGCAGCGATAATGCATTACGCCGTTATTTTGCATGTGCTGTGTTTTAACACGTGCAGGAGGAATTTTAGAATTGTCTGTATTGCAGATGCATTATTGTCGAATTGAACAATTCTCAAGTAACTCGTATTGGTCAATCGATCCTTTTGATATCGATTCTTAGATCTCGCCAAACATGCATAATCATATCGTGCACGTAGTATGTGGTTTTATTTATTTACTTATCCCTATACATCATATGGAATGGGTTTCAAACGATCCCAGCAGCCATTTGTAGCCAGTACACATTTTTTGAAAAAAAAAACAAACATTCTTGAATCGGGGGTTCCTATTCAGCAATTCGTCAAGTCGGCCAGCGAACCGTTACACCTCCAACTAATAAGTGCAATGAATTACGCATCCCACATTCAACAAAATAAGGCTTCAATATTTAATCAAAGGATTGAAATACCTCCTTGCGGCCGCTCTCATTTTCGGCGTGACCCAAACCCGCAGATGCACGCGGCTATAGGCTATAGCAGTTGGTCGGAATGGGGTGGGGGGTCGATGAAAGCATACCATTACCTCCTCCGCACACAGCACATGCAACTATTTTAACAGTACAAGAAGCCAGCAGGTTTTTTTTTTTCGCCAGCTTCTAACTCATTTTAAATATACGAAATATATCAACCGGCTGTGTTGAAATGTTACACCGTACTCCATATGTATGTTTTGTCCTTGAATATATAGATTTCCTTTTGTTTGAGAGACCCTTTGTACTCTGCCGCCTCTCCCCTGAGATGTTCTCATTGAACACAGCGGAAACCTTATCTGTACTGATGATGTCTCGGGCTTTCATGATTGAAAAATAATGCGACTTTTTTTTATCGAATCCAGTAAAAATGTATTACGTGCCAGAATAAAAATTGGAATAAGCGTGTGCTCAGAACGATGAGCCCGGACGGACGGCTGTACGACGGAAGGCCCTTGCGAGCGAGAGCGATCGTGTTTTAATTTGCGTGGCGCTAAAGTGCCGAATTTGACAACGAAATGCTGCACGCCGGTCTCGGCGACTGAAGGGAGGAAAGTTGTGAGTCCGTGTGTTTGGCGGTCCGTGAACCCGTGGATCAGTGACGAGGACGCCGACGGAGAGAAACGCGTGCTTGGAATTCACACCGAGACAGAGAAAGAGAGAACGGATGGATCAGGGCACTAACAAACAAAAATTAGCAAATCGCACATTCTACTGACTGTTTTAGGGAAAGTAAGTGAGTGGGCTTGGGCGAGACTTTGCCGGGAGGATGGATTTTGCCGTAGGGCTAGACTGGTATTTATTATCACGTGCAAAAAAGATATAATCGTTGCGTTTCTAGGAATCGTCACATTCGAATGCACGTTTCCCAGTCGCGTCGCAGCGTGCCTGTAAAACCTCGGCTCGCAGATTTATTCAACGGACGGGATGATTTAAAGAACTTGGCACCGAACGTTCGCCTAGGGGGGCCCCTTCGCCGAATCGCCGCTGCAAGTCGGTAAGCACCCCCCGCCCCCCCCCCCCCCCCCCCCACATCACAGACAGCTTCTCCCCAGCATCCGCCTTGGCAAGGCCGCGCCTGTTGGCCCTGATTACGGCCCGGCTGACACAAAATGCCGCCCGCTCGTGCAATATCGAAAGGCCAGTCTGCGGGGTTCGAGCGTCCGCTGCAAGGCGGCGTTCTTCGGGATGCTCTTTCCTACTGGGGCCTCCCGGCTCTCTTCCTCCTAATAAAATCACATTGCCCGTCTGGCCGACACAATGTGGGGCTGGCCCAGCGTTGATGTTTTTTTTTTATGTTGGGGCGAATTCAAAGCAGCCGTGAGGAGCATTCCGGGTGGCGGCGAGAGAGGGAGGGGTGTCGACAACAATTTCTGCCTTTCGTCTTTGACGCGCCAACAAGTAGGGAAATTTAATTATTTAAATTCACTGTAAATAACCTTAACGTTCAAAGGGCTCGTGGTACGTACGGTTTGACACAGACGTAATAAATACACGACGTTCCGTTGGCAGCTTGCGTTCCCATCGCGCTAAATATCCCTTCTAGACGTTTGACCCACTAAAACAAACCACATGGAGAGGAAAAAAAAATCCATATCGCGCAGTTACAATTTTTTTTCTATATATCAGAGGGTACCAAGCCGAACTCCCAACGGGACGCACCCCGCCCCGTCTGCACACACACACACACACAGCCCCACAATTTGTGGATCCTTGTAGGCTGCGGTTAAAGTGCAAGGGGCCGTTTGTGCATCTCGTGTTACCCTGGGCCGCGTTGGACCGCTGGACCCAATGGGGCTTCATCGTGGCAAAGTGGTGACTTCTGTCTGCGTGGCACTGGCTGAGGGGCACGCCACACCTTCAGCCGTGCAAGCAAGTCGCTGCTTTAGCAGGGGGCTCGCCGCGATATACACAGTAGATTCTCGATTTTTACGTGTGCGGTTCATCCGATTTGCGGGTTAACCGCGCACCTGAGATTTTGACGTGAATTAACAACTCGTGGATTTTTCCCTTAAGCCCAAATGAATAATCTGAGAACAGTTCTACATTGTTATTCTTGGAATTGTTCATTACGAGTCACGTGCTTAGACCGAACGAATATGTGCTCCGGTTCATTTGGAAATCCACGTGATTGCTTCTGCGGCACAACAGTAGGTGGAGTTTGATAGATTTTGATTGGCGTGGCTCTCCTATCATCGACCTAGTGGGCCGTGTCTTCTGCGCGGGAGCAGGAAAGTGTTATCACTGAGCACGCGCAGTGATAACAAGCTCAATTTTCTTAACTTAAACATGATTATTATCTCATAATACGTGTTAAAATGATTATTATCTATAGAAGTGTTTTTTGGCATAGAGATCCGCGGGAAATGGGTATTTTTGAATTATCCGCGTCCGTCTTCCGCGTCATTAGCGCGGATAGTCTAGAGTCTCCATAATATAGTTTTTTTTTAGGGGTTAGATCGCGTACATATAAATGTGTCGTTAAACTCGCTACCACCCGACACATTTATATTTTCGTGATTACGGATGATATTGGTCACGAAAGACCACGTGTTCATCCAGAGCCTACTGCGTATGTTTTCACGATGTGACAATCGTCGTGGATGCAGTTTCCCGTAACTTTGCGAGTTGTTTTTTCGGCATTTGGCGTACGTTGGGAGTCACGGCCAGAGTTTGTTCGGCTGCAGTTCACTCATCGTGATCGTGCCGTGGGGTGTGGATCGTTACACCCTCAGCGATTTGGCCACCACTTTGACCTTTCCGGTTTTGCCGTGGGTTGTTTTGTGGTTTCGTGAGAAATTAGTGCACAATAACGAACGCATCGCCATATCGAAGCATTTGGCTGATGAACCGGTTGAAGTAGTTTCTTCACTTCCCTTCTCCAGCGACCAGTGCAATTTTTATTTTTTTTACAGTTTTAGTAGCAAACGTCTACTGCTTGGTTTTTGTATACAAGTCAACATTCTAAATTAAGAGAGGTTATATCACCAGTGGGTGGGGGAGCGGTGGCTGTGAACCTGGCGACCCGAGTTCTATTCCACGGCTACCGTGGGTGACGATCCGAACTGAACCTCGCCCTCCTGGATGCCTTCACCGACCCCGCACTGACCACCAGTGGAGAAGTATGGTCAAACAACTCACGTGCTCCGGCATGGCATACCATGTGGAGGCCTTCATCCAGCAGTCGATTGACAAGGTCTGATCTTTTGTTGTCCTTCCCCTCCTACGCCTCCGATTAGCACGGTAGGTTACGTACGGTGCAAAAGAAGTTCAACATACATACACAGACTCGCACAGAGACCCACAGACTCGCACAGAGACCCATAGTTTGTTGTCCTTCCCCCGCACATCCGATTAGCACGGTTGGCTATGTACGGTGCGAAAGAAGTCCAATATTCATACATGATCATGAGATAGCTTTTTCAGTAAATATAAACACGTACTTTGATTATCTCATTGACAATGTACGCTTGAGTGCGAAGGCTGCCCTCCTCTGACTGATGGTAATATTTTAAGCTTATAGTTTTTCAAAATGCCGACTCGTAATGTTCATTAACCTGTTCATATCTGGCAATTTGATTGAGACCCGGATAATAGTGAAATATAGTGCAATATAGATTCATAAGGCACCTTTTGTGAATGATCAGAAGATTTTGATTAAAATAAATAAATGTATATATGCGTGTTAAGAGCGTTGGCACAGCGGATTCATAGAGCAGCGTTCGCACGCTGCTGTATGAATCCGTGGACCTGAGTTTGATTCCTGGCCAGGGTAAATATTGGGTGACATTTGAATTTGGCCTGGGACCTCGTGCACCAACCCTCACTGACCAGCATGGTGAAGTATGGTCAGTAAACCCCTCCATGATTGACATGGTGTGGCGAAGCCTTCGTTTCAGCAGTGTATTGATTTTCTAATTGGCATTATTATGAAAAATAAACTATGCATTAATATGTGAATGTATTCACTGAAAATAACAATCCAGATTATGCATGTAAAATGACAATGTTTTAAACTCGGGCGATTTCATCAGTTTAAACGTCTACCGCACTAAATTACGACGCGGAATAAAAATCTATCTATAAAATATTCCCGCCGTCAAATGTAATGGGAAAGCCTGAGGCCATAAATATCTCGTCTAAGCCTTGAGAAGTGGGGGCTGGGGGGCTGTGGGCGGTCGGTGGTGGGGGCGCGACGATGGCGACCGCGACACCAAAGCAACGGAATTACACGAACAACCCTGACGACGTTGGGATTTGCCGCCGATGAAATTAGCTGCGTTACGCGTCTGCGCGCCGACCTGCTGTTGCGGCAAGGTCACCCGGTGCCCGCCCAGAGACATTCGTGGAAGGGCCCCTTGCAAAGAGATGTAAATTATTATTATTATTATTTACTTCTCACTATTGTCAAATTATCAGATTTTTTTTTTGTGTCTTGGTCCCGGGCTGTAATTCCGTTAACAGTGTAATTTGACTGAATAAATTGGCCGTCTCCGTGTTCTCGGATTTTAGAAGTATGTATATATTTCGACTTAAAGCTTTCGTGACTGCAATGATTCATCTTCTTTGGTTCTTTCGGTAAAGTCACGTATAATATTGCGTTATTTTATTTTATCAATTTATTATTTTATTCTCATTCTACGTGACTTTACCGAAAGAACCAAAGAGTATGTATATATTGTCGTTGGCCGAGATGCTGTGATGTGAACGGGGAGAGGGCACCGCAAGGGTACAGAGGAGGTGGGGTAATGGCAATCGCCGCCTCCAACCCACAATGTT